CGGAGGACGAGAAATTTGAACCGCAATTTGAAGCGCGCGCGATAAATGAAAGTTTAACCGCCGTGACCGATGATTTCAACCATGTGGCCCACAACAGGGTAGACACAGGGACGTTATAGTTATAGTAGACTTTGGAAATAGGCATCCCAGCGTAATACTGACGGAACGTTTCAAACATCAGTTTACCGCAAAAAGACCTATGCTGATGTTTTTCTTCATTACAAGAGCAACCACCCTATTGTTCACAAACGGAGTGCTATTATAACCCTAATGAATCGAGCAAGAACGCATTGTTCTACCCCCGAACTCTAACAAGTCGAACTCAACTACTTGTTCCAATTGTTTTCAAAAACGGTTACCCCAGAGAGTTCGTACGTCGATGCATGAAACGACAAGAGTTTAAACAAAAAGAAAAAGAACTAGAATTTTCCGATCAAGCGCCTACTCCAAGAAATTGGCGAACACTTCCATATATTAAAAACGTGTTTGAACTCGTTGAAAGACACCTGAGGACGTACCAGATCCAAGTGGTGCACAAACCCACGGCCACACTTCGAAATAAGCTTGTACACCCTAAGGAAAGGGTTAGCTATTTGAACAGAAAAAAGGTCGTTTATAAAATTCCTTGCGGCGGCTGCGATGCAATTTATTGCGGACAAACAGGAAGGTCCGCCTCTACACACATACATGAACATCAATTAGCGGTGAATAGGTGCGACCGGTTGTCCGAAGTCGCCATGCATTCACTTGAAAGTGGGTACAAGTTTGCATGGTTCCTGCCCATACAAGAAAGGCCGAGAATTTTTGGAGGCCATTAATTCTGACAAATCATGATCAACAGGCACGTTGAGTTGGATTCAATGTACACCAATCTTAAAAAAAGCCTGGAAAAAGGGCCAACCACCAAAACATGCTATTGACTATGGATGACTTAGCATTATCGATTTTTTGACACGTTTAAAAATGTGCACTGCTCTTCATACATTTCCCTCGCGTCCGAAGACGACCTGGTGTGCCAGCGTCGAACATTTATAATAAAGTTTGTTCCTGCTTCCCAAAGAATCTTTTCTATCAAATAATGATAGTAGACTTTCACAGCATCTACCACACCTCTCAGGT